ATAGAGAAAGATGGGGGGACGGGTGGTGGAGAGAGAGAAAGAGATGTGGACACAGAAGAAATAAGAAGGGGAGAGAGAAAACGAGGGGGGGGGGTGCAGAAAGGAAAATAAAGAAAGGGGGAAGACAGAGGAGGAAGAGAAAAGCAATCATAGTGAGAGGAGGGAGAGGTGATCTTGAGCAGTGCGGAGTGGGCTTGCAATGTATGGTTGCAGGCGTGAAGTCGAAGCCAAACCAGGTAACTATCGATTTTGATTCAACAGTTATCCCCCATGGGAAGCCCCTTACCCCTGCAGGCAGGAAGATAATGGATGTCTCCGTTTCGTTCATTGTGCTCAGACGTTCTGGCCTTTCATGCGGTGAAATCACGTTAGCTTTTTATTAATCCTGGACGCCAGCGAGGGAGGGATTTTGCTCCTGCTAAGGCATAGCAGGAGAGCGCTGGTTTAACAATACAGCTGGGCAATAAGTCGGTTTAGCAAAATCCGGATAATATATTATTATGTTAATGCACCTCTTCTATTCGGCAAATAATGGATATTGTGAATCGCTACAGCGGCAAATGGGTTAGAACCATTTCGAGAAACGGGTTAGCATCACTTTGACAAATAGGTGCACCCCAAGGAGTTTTCCTTGGTGCACCCACTTCGGCAAACGGGACAGGAAAGGGAGTTCGTAATTAAGAGTCTGAATTCAAACAATGTTTCATTGATAGTTATCCGGTTATCCGTATAGGTTATCCGGATTTAGCCCACCTCTATTTGAAACAAGTCACTTTAGAAAAAGCGAACAGCGATGTCGATGATCGTCGTCAGTGTATGCGCTGTCATTTATTATTGACACCGCCCATGCCGCTGCATTCGTCGAGCGCTTTTTAAAATTTGGTTATAAACTCTTTTCTTTTCTAGATTCTATAAGAGCTTGCGTGAATATAAGCGCAATACTGAATAGAAGAGTGTTCAAATCAAGGCTAGAGAAGTGCTTTGTTCGGACGAGTTTAGAAAGTCTGAGAAAGTGTTAAGAAATTAACTTATAATATAAGAACTGTTTGAAGAAAGGTTTTATTACTACTAGCAATTAAATTTGATCCACTTGTCGGAAAAAGAAGACTGATATATTTTATCGGTGAGTGCAATAGTTAAAATTTGAACTCTCAGTGTAATTTATGTTTTTCAGGGAGGGTGTTATTTTTGTTTTTGTTTATTTTGTTTTGTTGTTGTTGTTGTTGTTGTTTTTTTGTTTTTATTTCAGCGTACTTTTCTTACAGCTTTGAGTCGGTTAAAGTATTTATGCTCACTTATTTATACATGTATAAAACAGTTATATTGTAAAATTCTATTGTAACCTTTATCAATCTATCTATCTATCTATCTATCTATCTATCTATCTATCTATCTATCTATCTATCTATCTATCTATCTATCTATCTATCTGTCTGGCTGGCTGGCTGTCTGGCTGTCTGTCTGTCTGTCTGTCTGTTTTTCTCTCTGTCTGTCTGTCTGTCTAGTTCAGATGGCTGAGTCTGAAGTCTCTGTCAACACTTGGAAGTTTGTGTGTGTGTGTGTGTGT